TAGAGGCTTTTTCATAACTATAAAAAACTGGAAACAACCCAAATGGTCATCATCAGGTGAATGGATAAACAAATGGCAGTATATTCATATACTACAAAACTATTCATCAATAAAAAGGAATAAACTATCAATGTGCACAATATGAATGAATCTCGAAAGCATTATGTCAGGCAAAAGAAGCCAGACACAGAAGAGAACATTGTATAAGCTTTCATTTACATGACATGTGAGAACCAGCACAGCCAACCTATAGTGATGGAAATCACATCTGGGACTGCCTGGGCAGGTGGAGGGCTGGCTGTAAGGGAGCAGGAAGGAATTTTCTGGAGTGATAAAAATGGTCTGTATCTTGACTGATATGGTGGTTACACAGGTGTGTAGTTTTGTCAGCACTCTTTGCACTGTACACTTAAAATCTGTGCATTTTATTTTATGCAAATTATTCTTCAATTTAAAAAAAAAAGTTGTAAAGGGTCTAGCTTGGGAGTTAAACACAATAAGCACAACAACCATCAGTACCCTCTCCTTCACCCTCTTCATGCCCATCACAAATACCATAATGTTAGAAGGACATTTCGTGAACATTGGACTGAGGATCATAAACAAAATGATTTTGCCTAAAGCTATTTCACCCCGAGCCCTTCTCTGGGTTTTGTCCTCCAGGTCTATGTCTGAGGGCCAAATGTCCCAGCCAAGGGGGTACACTTTGTTGAGTAACTACAAGAGATGTGAGATGTGACATAGTGGGAAGACACATGGCATGAATAAAGGACTCTGAGGAGATCAGCATTTATGGGGCTGGAAGTTTGAGTCCACACAAAGGCTCCTTGGAAGAAAAGTCTGGTGATTTGCTTCTGAAAACTCAGCCACTGAAAACCCGAGAGACCCTGAAACCAGAGGAACTGGATAGTTTTACTGCTGACCACTCTGAAAGGGATCACAATAGAAGGTCTTGGATAGAGTGGGAGAAAAATGCAGAACAAAACTCAAACTCATTCAAAAGACTAGGTTTACCGATCTAATAGAGACTGGTAGGACTCCCGAGACTGTGGGCCTTAGTTAAGCCTGGCACTGAGCTGACTCACCCCCATGGGTCAACTTTCAGCCAGTAGGGGAGTAATAATGCCAGGAGGTAGCACCCACTAGAACAGTCAATAATGTGAGATCCAAAGGGCAGCTTTTGTGCAGGCATAAGGCTCAGAAGTTAGGAGGGGACAGGGGAGAAAGATGAAGGGAAACAGTAAACGCAGGGGGGAGGTGGGGAGGGTGCTCTTACATTGTGGGGATGGCAATCAATGTCACAACACAAAAAGTGTATGAACTGTTGAATGGAAAACCAATTTGCTCTGTAACCTTTCACCATAAAAAGTTTAAAAATGAAAAATAGAGAAAAAAGTAAAAGATTATGTAATTAGAAGTTAGCATGACAGATAAATAACGTTTTATGAAATAGCAAATACTATGTGTGATTCTGTGCTACTTAGTACATCCTTCTCATTAAATGAAAATGAATGAGGAAGAAATTATATCTTAAAGCACTATTTCAATCAAAAAAAAAAAAAATTCTATGGAGCACAGTTCTCTGACACACACGGGGTTGCCATGAGTCAGAATCTACTCAGTGGGAATGGGTTTGATTTTTATAAAAGATAAGCTAGTGTATTCATTTCCTAGGGCTGCATAGCAAAGTACCACGAGCTGGGGAAGCTGAAACACCAGAAATGTATTCTCTCGCAGTTGCAGAGGCTGGGGTCTGGAATCAAGGTGGCAGCAGGGTTGGTTTCTGGAAACTCTGGGGGAGAATGCGTCCCATGCTCCTCTCCTGCTTCAGGTGGTTGCCGACAACCCCAGACATTCCTTGGCCCCCACAGTCACATGTGTGTCTGTGTGTCCAAATTTTTCCCTTCTTCTAAGGACATCAGTCCTATTGGACTTAGGACCCACCAGTATGACCTCTTAATCTTAACTTGATTATGTCTGCAAAGACCCTATATCCAAATGAGGTCACACTCACAGGTTCCAGGCAGACATGAATTTTCGTGAGATAGTATTCTTGTGGTGTAGTGAATAACACATTTGGTTGCTAACCAATGTTTGGTGTTTCAAAACCACCAGCTGCTCCATGGAAGAAAGATGAGGCAGTCTGCTTCAGTAAAGATTTATAGCCTTGGAGACCCAATGGGGGTCACTAGGAGTCAGAATCAACTTGACAGCAGTGAGTTTGGTTTTAGAGTATTCAACCCCGTACTGGCAGGAAAACTAGCACTGGGGCCAGATATGAGGTCAGGAAATGGAATTACATTGTCATGCGGAATGATCAATAATTGTTTGCTGAGTCCATTGAGACCGAACAGCATCCAGCAGGGCTGACTACTGCCACCTCCTCCTGTCTTGCAGCTCACATACCTGCCCCCGCCGTGGGGCGAATGCCGATCCTCAGAGATGGGACTTGACTTCTTTCCTGTTTACAGTATCACCGCCTGTAGGATTGACTGTGAGACCCGCTACATCGTGGAGAATTGCAACTGCCGTATGGTTCACATGCCAGGTCAGTGCCAGGGAAGAGGAGGAAACAAAACTCTGCCTGGGACCACTTGGGCCCGTCTTTGTATTTCTCAAAAACAAAAACAAACAAACAAAACGTTGCCACTGATTCCCACTCCTAGCAACCCTCGTGTTGGAGTAGAATTGCTCCATAGGATTTTCCTGGCTATAATCTTAGAGAAGCAGGTCCACCATCAGGCCTTTCCTCCCAGTAACACTGGATTGGTTTGAACTGCTAACCCTTTTGGTTAGTTGTCAAGCATGAACTGGGACCTTTTGCATTTCTCAGCCTAACAGGAAACACTCAATTCACTACAGAAGGACCCAAAGGGCTGTTGTTCTGGGAAGAATCTAGTATTTGGGGCTTAAACATTTAGGAGTCTCTGGTGGTATAGTGCCTAAGGTATTTGACTGCTAACCAGAAGGCTGGAGGTTCAAACCCACCAGCTACTCCTCAGAAGGAAGGTTGGGCAATCTACTTCCATAGTGATACTGCTTTGGAAACCCAAGGAGAAGTTGCTATGAGTCAGGGCTGACTTGACAGCAGTGCCTTGTGCTTGGGTGGTGCAAATGGTTAAAGCCCTCAGCTGCTAACCAAAAAAACAGTGGTTCAAGTCCACCCAGAGGCATGATAGAAGAAAGGCCTGGCAATCTACTTCCTAAAAATCAGCCATTAAAAATATGCGGTTCTACACACACAGGGTATTGCCATGAGATAAACTCTGTTCCATAAACTGGTAAAAAAGGAAAAAAAAAAAACATTCAAAGAGCAGATCGGAGCATCCAGTCCAACAACCAGGGCAGCATCCTGGTGTCCAGAAGCATCCATGTGTTTGGAAAATGTTCATCCCAATGGTCAATGTGTTTGGCAAATATTTCCTCTCTACCTCCTGATGTTTGTGTCCCAGTATCTAGATGTTTGCAATTCTCGTGTCCTGGTGTGGTACACGTTCCAACATCCAGATGTTGTTGCTTTGATTCAGATGTTCACCATTCTTTGCATCCAAATGTCTAACACTCATTCAAATGAAACAAAAGTTCACCAGTCAGCAACAAATGTGCTTGTCCATACAGTTCTGTTGTTAGACATGTAGCCACCCTTGTTAGAGCAGTTGGCATGTCAGAGGCAGAAGTGTGGAGCCAGGAGCTGGTTTGGGCAAGAAGAATTTGGTATTGCAGCATGGAAGGGTGATTGAGCTGGAAGGCAAAGGCCTCAGCTTCTAATTCACGTTCATTCACTAGCTATGTGACCTGGCACAAGTCACTAAACCTTCCTGTTCTCAGCTTCACTACCATGAGTTGTAATAAGGATAAAATAAAGTGGGAGCTCTGGTAGCATAATGCCTAAGGCACTTGACTGCTAACCAGGAGGCTGGCAGTTCAA